GATGGAATTGAAATCCATTCCATCTAAAAATGTGTAAATGACAAAATACCCTCACGATTATTACTTGCTTTCGATTTCTGCTTATCAAACACCAAAATCAAACCGATTACTGCTTGCTTCCGATTTCTGCTTATGATGCTCTCGACCGATTACTGCTTGCTTCCAATTTTCTCATTAAATGTTCAAACAAACCAGATTTGAGAACCAAATCTAGGTTCACTGTCGCCAACACCCTCTAAACCCCTTTCCCTCTTCAAGCTTCGACCTTGCAATTCCAGAAATCTGAAACCAGATATGAGAACGAGAAAAACGAGTTCTTCGGTAGTTGTGGAGGCAGCGAAAGGTAGAAGAAAAGGTGAAAGAGAGATGACCATGGAGGAGGGAGAGAGTGTTTGTGTTCCCATGGTGAGTTTTTCCAACCTATATCCGACGAAAGTTGTGGAGCACGGTCATGGTAGGGGAGGCGGGAGATGAGAGCAAAGAAGGGCAGGGGTGAGAGTGGGGGTTACCTAGAGACAATAAAGATAAGACGAAGAAGGCGAGTGATCGAAGATGTAAAGAGGGTCACAGGGGATCTGCTTATGATACTCTTGACTGATTACTGCTTGCTTCCAATTGAATTCTGAAAATTTCTCAGTAAATGTTAATTATATTGTTATTTGTAATAAAAAAAAACTTAATTTTAAAAAAAAATATCAAAGAAAGGGTATTTTTGTCTTTTTTTCATCATTCCATTCCAATTCTGCTGCAAACCAAACAAGCATATTCCAATTCATTAGACTGATTAAATAGCATTCCTGCCAACCAAACACTTGGCCAAACCTGATAACATTTCATTTCAATACCTTCCAGATTCCAATTCCTTTAACAGATTTCATTCATTCAGAAATCATTCTGCGAATCAAACGCCCCCTAAGATTTTTATAAGAAGTCTCTACAACAATAATTTTATAAAACGCTATATTTTTTGTTTATAAAAACCTTTCATTAAAAATGCTCTAATTTATGCACATACATCAACATCAAGATTACATTTTATATTTTTAATATATAATTTAACGTGATCTCCAAATAAATATCACCAATCCTCGTTGCAAAGCTGACGAGTCGAATGACCGAGTGATAACGCGTTGGTGACGAGTGCGGTGACGTGGGCGTGGTCCTGATGGTCCTGACTTTTTTCACCTGCCTCCAAAATCAGCGACAGGATAGAATCTAAAATTTCGGATTTTAGTCCTTACTTTATTTTATCAGCACGCCAACCCTCTAAACGAGAAAATCTCAATTTTGCCCTTACCGTTATTGTCATCTTCTGAACCATCTTTATTAGCTTTTTGGGCCCACCACTTTTTAATTTACAAAATAAACAAAAACAATAAATATCGTATAATTTTAGGTGCCGATGGCTAAAGTGCGCCTGACTTAAAAAAGTAATGTTCAACTATTTGTTTGAATATAAGATTTGAATTTGAAAAATACATTAATGATGAATTCTACAAAAATAAGGTGCCGTTTACCTGAGTAAGTGCTTACGAAATCATTTTACTTACCGGATGAATATGACAATGACTAAAAATCTTATCTGGTAAGAACGAAGGCAAGAATCGAGAGTCTTACCCGGTTAATGACTCTTACCATGGTTAACACTTACCGGGATAAATTGTTGCATACAATGCGTTTTAGTGAATAAAATCTTACTGATAAGTAAGCGATAGCGTTGAATATGTGCATGGACTCGTATGTTGTGTTATAAAAATGAGCAACAAGCCAATTAACTAACCAGTCATCTAAGAAAATTATTACCCCAATTCATAAATTCGGCCTAAATGGTCAAACAAACCTCACTTGGCGTTTATTCCGTTAAGGTTTTTTTTAGATTGTCATGTTTTTTACGGTCCTGTTTGAAAAAACAACCTTAAATAATATTATCATTTATGATACAAGTAAGTCCTCATGATTTATTGCAATATAGGCTTATATTTTTATAATTTTGATTTGGAATACGTTGGTGAAAGAATCCTTCATTTTATATGTTTAGAATATGAAGTATTGTTATATGCACCTTTATTAATGTTATTATATGTACTTTTATCTATATCGGAATCATGTCAATTATATATAGAAAATGTAAAAGAAGTATTGATGTTGAAGTATGTAAGAAAAAATAATAATAGATAATGATGCATTTAACAATACTATAAGGATACTTGCGTAATGCAACGAGATAGATCTTAATTTTAATATTTTATTTTATTCTTTATCTCAATCGATGTTATAATATGGTCTTATGTGATTTTGAAAAAGTGATGATGTTTTTGTTTTTGAATAAAATATAAATTTGAAGATATCATAAAATTTTGATAGAATTATATCGATATTAGTATGAAATTAACTATTTAAAATTCCTATTTTTTGTGTAATTTTTTAATTCAA